CTGTATGTAGTAGAGCTCTTTATGTTGCACATTCTCAAAATAGCTGAGCACGGCAGAGAGTAACAGAACCCAGACAGGAAACGGGACTTATTTGACACCCATTATTAATCGCAAACCTACCCAGACCGAGGTCTCTGATCCCGTTACTAAATGGTGAGACGCTAAACCGAGGTCCTGCCTACCTGTTCAGGTGGACGTTAGAGATCCCAAGGCACTAATTGAAAACAAAAAGGGGAGTTTCTCCTGGTGTCCTGGCTGATAACCCCCCTATTGGTGATAGACAAAACAAATAGTTACTCGTGGGACCTCACTACGTGCGAATTAGTGCAGTGAAAATTCTCTAAAGCGCTTTGAGCTGTTTTGCCGATGCATTGGGTAAAGTTGTATATCAAATGCAAAGGTAATTAATAATTATAAAGCTGTTAGAGAACAGATTGTGCAACCAGCTCTTCAATGACACTATGAAAAAAAGGTCCCTTAACTGTTCTTGGGTGGCCCGCTGTATAGTTGGAAGCATTAATATCACAGCAGCACAAACTCTTGTCCTCCCAAGTGTACCTTCCCAAGGTGGTCTCTGCAACCAGCCAGTCATCTGTCACATAAGTGACAGTATAAACCCGACTACAATTAGTAAGCACCATCTCCACTTTCTCAGGGCTCCATTTACAAAGCACGTTTCACGCTGGGAGGAGGTCTCAAAGTGCTACCGAGGGCTGGAGAGCACCACGGCTGGGATGGGAGCTGAGAAGGGGTGAGGAGAGGAAAGTGGGGTCGAAGAGCTACGTTTTGAGACAGGCCTTGAAAGAGTGGGAGAGAACAAGAGAAGTTCTTGTTGCTGGGGAAGCAAAACTGTTGGAGAAGCCTGGTGTCATTTGGTTCGACCCGAGATCTTTGCTGATTCACAATTCCAGAGTAGCCGGCACTGAGCTATCGTGCACGAGAGAAAGTGCGAGCCCTCGATTCATAGACCTCAGAAGGAAATGTTGAGTCCTTTCACTCAGTGGTTGACCTGCGGTTATCTTTGTGGAGGTCGACTGCCTGCATCATGTAGCACTGCTATACCTGCTTCCCTCAGACTGGGCTGTATTACCTTTGGTCTTTTACAATAATCACTATTGATCCATCTCCTTTGCATGATACGATACTCAGTAAAACTCTCATGGAATATTACGCATAGCCTAATGCACCTGGGTATGGTGGGAGGGGGCTTTCACTGTATTGGAGCAGCTCGGAATAAACTGAATTGTTTTTTTTCCTGCAGACAGGGAGAGTGAAATCTTACTCTGATTCCAATTGGCGTTACGTTCAACACTTTCGCGCATAGGGTAAAAATAAAAATATTCTGATTATTATTTTTTTGATGAAATCCTATCAAGTTCACCTTAGTACACTAAGGTTCTTTGGGTGATATGCATTGACCCATTGCCCCTAACTACCCCAGGAATCAAATGCTTAACAACAGAAAAGAAGAGATCAGTCAGGACTCATCAAATGACTCTGTACCAGCGGACAATATCCTGCCACCAATGCCAGTCTCTTAGTAATTTTGAATACCAAGTACGTTAGTAAATGCAATTTAAATCCATTCTTTCAATGGGGCGATGGCTGCAAATGAAGCCAACTGTAGACTGTGATGAATTCCTTTGACAGCGAGCAATGAATATCTTTGGAAGTAATGAATACGTTTTTCTGGAAAATAAAATAATCAATTTGTTCTATCATGTAAAGTTGGCCATTCATCATCAACATCTGCTGTCACAATCCGGCAAAAATAAATCAAATAATATCGGCATTTTCCTATCGATTAAACTATGGGCTTTGGGCAAAATCTCTCCTGGAAAGTTTAGCATTAATCTGGTGGATGAGTCAAGAGTGCAGGTGTGGCCCCGTGCATTGGAAATCTACAGGGATAGAAAGCGCTTTGGAGAGACGGCATCATTTATTTCTGCCATTCAACTCAAACCGTACTACAACAGAAAATGTCCAAACTAAATCTCGCACGAGGCGTAATCCATCATGGATGGATAACCCGCCATGCTTGTCTCACACCCTTAAAGCCAATTACTGACAAGTATCGAACAAACAGCAGGAAAATAATGACAGCAAATGACAGTAAAGCATTTCTCAATCTTAAGGCGAGCGTGATACCAATTAGGCGATCGCAAAACGTGCACGCAGCGTTCATTTTTTAAAAGCTCTTTCTTTACACTTGTAATACGCTCATAGGCTCAAGGGTGAAGCTTCTTCAAATACTTCAGAGATGGTGTTTACCAGGTCTGTTAAGCCACGATAATGCCCGGGGTTAAGTCGTAGCCGATCAAGCATGACATTTAAGCGCTCTGAGTCGCTACCCGGCGTGAGGGGCGCTATGTAAATGCAAGTTGCTGTTGTTGTTGTTGCTGGCACACCATTGCTGTGGATGCATACTGTTGGGTCACAAGGTTATCTTTGTATGGCCTCCCTTGGGGGAGGGAGGAAGAGAAGGTAGATAAGTGGGTGTCCTTTGAGCTAAGGTGACTCGCTTTAGCAATCTTAAGTTTTAAGACAAATGCTCTTCACTCTCCATCGTGAGACCAGCAAAAAGTGCAGCCGTTATCGAACACTCGGGTCCTTTGCGCCCATCAGTCGGGTAAAATTTACAAGCATAGGGGCAGACTAAGCTTTCACACTGAACATTCTCTCCTGTCACCGTGTTACTGGCGTACGTCCCTCGTGTCTTTGATTTTGGACGTCCAATAAATTCTATTCATTCAGATGTCGCAACGCAACCATAAAGGGAGATTGATTCACAACATTTCGCAACGACTGTTTACGGTGACGGCAGCACATTAACACCACTGTAAACCCAGCTCGTAAACCGCTTCAAGATCCTTCTTTGGGGTCTCATTGTGATTCCGCAATGTCAACCGCAACCACTGCCGATTTTCTCCCGGAAACGCCTCCGGCCGCGATCCCATTTCGCGGAAGGCAGAGATAAGATCGACATACGTTCGAGCAACGATCCAGTGGGGGTGAAGTGATCGAGTAGGTAGAGGGAAGGAGTTCAAAGTTCAAAGAGGAATAATGAGGAAACATTGCCCCGAGGTACATTTATGTGGCACGTGACACTGGCTCATCTTCCATTTATCTCTGAAATACAGTGATCTTCTCAAATACAATTTCCCTTATTAATTAGACATTCATAAGCACTTCCATGGCTTTCAGGTCATTACACGGGATGACTGTGTAGCAGCCAATTAGCCCCCGTAATGGAGATTAGTACGTTCAGCAGCTGGTGATTATTTTCTTAAGCAAATTATCGCCGTTTCCCTTTTAGCTTCTGCTTTTTACGCGAACCCTTTCAACAACAAAAAATGCCACCCACCTCGAACCACCGACACACAGCTGAACAAATTGCTAAGATGAGGCTTTTTTTTTGAAAAAAGGAAACCGACAATCATTTAGTGAAATGAAATAAATTTCCCTCCAATTAGCTGTCACCCGCCCTCGATTAGCCTTGACCTTCCCAATCCCCTTCTCCCGATCTCACCCACTATACCCCTCTATTCCATCTCTCTCACGTATACATCTACCCCTCTTTTTTCGATGTGGCTTTGGTTACCTTCCTCATTCCCTTCGCCTTCCTGATCTCCCAAGAGAAGCGAGAGGCCCCGGGTTAGATGTCCTCCTAGGGCGACACCCCGCTCAGGCAAGTTTCCTTACTCCACACGTCTGTTTACCAGCGGGAAGTGGCGATATTTTCGCCCACAAATATACAGTCAATTCGCTTTACGGTATATTCTGTGAAGGGGATAATAATCCCTCCAAAAAAAAGGTCACTCAATCCACAGCCGCACAAGCACAATGGGCCAAATGGCCTCCTTCTGCGCTGTATAATTCTAAAGGTTTGTGGGACGCTGCTGTGCACATTTGGCTGCTGCATTTCACCCACAAATACACAGTCAATCCATTTTATAATAATAATAATAATCCTTGCATTTGATATAGCGCTTTTCACGTCGGGAGGACGTCCCAAAGCGCTTCACAGAATACACTGAAAAGTGAATTGACTGTATATTTGTGGGCAAACGCGGCAGCCAATTGCGCACAGCAATGTCCCACAAACAGTCGTAGATTGAAAATGACCAATTTATTATTGTTTTTAGTTTTGGAGGGATTATTATTAGGCTCTGTGTGGAGTAAGGAAACTTGCCCAAGGTTTCACCCTCTGCCTGGCAATATATCCTATGAAGTGCTTTGAAACGTCGCACCGAGGTGATAAGGTGGTATATCAAACGCAAGGATTATTATTATTATAAATGTTGCCATTGTCCAGGTTCCTCTTAAATGCATTAATGCAAGCATTTAAAACCGATTTAAATGAAAAGTGCTACAGAAATGTATCGCTGCTGCCCACAATACACTCTGTATGGATGGCCAGGTCTGAACTGAATCATTATTTAACTGAACCACTAGCAGACCAGCACGTTGAGGCTATTAATGCTGTATCAGGCGTTGAATATTTATGCTCTTTCAAGTCCTCTCAGCCCCACGACCTTTATGGTCTGGAGCGAAAGACACAGGGGCTTACAAAAAGTCTTTGACAGATGTATAATAAATCCTGACCCAACAAACGCCCCTCAACAAACCAGCTACACGTGTATCAGGTTCCGACTGATTCAAGAGCACTTTCCACCGAAGGGAAAATCATTGAAACGATGCAGGTTTGTTCGCACGACTGACGGATACCACTTTTTTTTCTCTCTCTCTCTCTCTCTCTCTCTCTCTCGGGTTGCGTCTCGCAAAATGACGGAAAGGTAAATTAGGAGAGGAGCACAAGTAAATTAAGCGAACGGCGCACTTTGGTAGACAAATCGTTGACACTCAAGCCACTTCCCAGAAATGATCGATGGCAATCTGCTCGCTCAAATCCCGAAGGAGGTACCGTGGGCGGCTGAGTCAAGTGTCTTTGATGCTCTGTTGCGTGTCGAGGGTGGGGGGGGGGGGTGTCTGTGTCTTACCTGACTTCCCCGGTGTCCTCCGTGACTAAGACGTCTGTCTTGCAGCTGGCGAGCGGACTGATGGACAACTCCACCGGAGGCACCACGAAGCTCTTACTGACCGGCAACCACAACCCTTGGCCCAGGCTGTAAGTGGATCTACGGCAGAAACAAAACGGGTCATCTGTCGAAAACCGTTCAACATGCGCACTGTGATCATCTATAACGACGTGCAAGAAACTTAGGAATGTGCAGGAACCTAAAAAAGAGCCCCACAAATATCTACCTAGCTGTTTTTTTTAAGTGCCATTGCTCCCTCATTCGCATTTCTCTCAGTCTGTTCCCCCGTTCCCCCCCGTCCCCTCCACACCGCCATCAATTGTTTCCGGACATTACCTGCATTATGCCTTTCCGTCACCTCCCGGCGACAGATAAATACTGGAATGTGGAGAGGTTTGGAAATGGCACTTCAAGTCAACTGAGCAGTGGCCCCGGGTAACAATCTGCAATGCAGCCCAGTCCCATCTCCCGAACCAATCCCTGAAATGATTCCCTCATTAAACAGTGCCTGATTCCTTCTTGAGGAAGCTGGTAAAAAAAAAAACTGTGACAAAAATCCAAAATGCAAAACCGAAATGGTTCTAACGTGAAGCTTGTTTTCAAGTATCAAGTCGTGTCACTGACACCCGTGCTCAAATGGTTTAACGTGAACCTGAGCTTTAGTTGGCCTACGTTAGCAATCAATTGTGAAGCCACTGGACAAAGCAAGCTTAATCCATTAACAAAACAGAGCCTTCAAAGAAAGAGTTATAGGGACATAATAAGCCGTGGCGGACTTTAAACCTTCATCAAACAGCAATAGAGAAAAAAACAAATTCCGTCTACTCAATAATCTATAAATCCTGCTTCCAGTTTGTTACAAACATAAGGCTAACGTAGAGTGATCTTTCTATTCCCTTCTCCCTCACGAGTGCATTTAGTTTCCTCCAAAATATTTGGCAGCTTTTTGCTTCAACCTCAGTTTCTGGCAGTGAGTTCCACACTGTTGCGGTCAAGGTTAAAAAAGGGTTTATACACAGATTCCCTTGTGGAGGATGGTGTGGCTGGGTTTTTATACTGTACTCCAGCCAGGGAGAGGTGACCAGCATCTGTGTTTTGTTTCTGGAGTGTTAATTTGTTTCGTTAATCGGCGTTCAAGGGAAAGACTGAATAACAGGTTGCAGAATCAGAAGAAAATGGAAACAGCCCGAAATATAACCAGAGTATTAATCATCCTTTCATTTGATACGACCTTACCAGGTCATCAAAAATGTCCAAACAAATGGCTGTATTTATAGGCGAATGCGGCAGCTAATTTGCGTACAGCATTGTCCCACAAAAAGCCCTGGAGTTAATGGCCAATTTTATCTGTTGCCCAGAAAACCGGGAAAAACTCCCTTCTCCAGCATTGATCTGGATTAGCAGCTTGGACTGTGAGCTCAAAGGACCAAAGTAGGGTTTGAATCCACAGCCTTCCGACTCAGAGGCAAGAGTGCTACCTACTAAGCCAGGCTGACACCAGGAACCAATGTCTAACCGAGCGTTTGTGAAATTTCCTTTCAACCTTTCAGAGCCTCTATGTTCGCTGCTAAAGCACTGCAACCATTAACACGGGTGACGCCCCCTCAACTAAACAACAGACAACGACTCAGTTTTGTTCGTTCTGTACCTGAATATCTTTTCTGGTGCCTGTTCTCCTGTCACCAGGTCATAACCTCTTTCGAGCGTTGTGTACGGCCAGGGTCTGAAAAGACAAACAGCAAAAAGAGCCACAGAGTTACACACGCAGAGTGAATCGAGAGCGACACAATGCATTGAACCGGGCTCGGTGTTGCTCGAGTTCAGAAAATGGTAGCACAGAATTTCACACAAAAAAAGTTGAGATCAATAAGAAAACAGTCCCAAAGCTGCTCGCGATGTACCCTGAACACCTTTGGTTCTCAATGGCTTGAACTGACCCTTCATTTTGTCCCCATTCACTTCTCACACAAAGGTGCTTATGGACTCGATCTGGGGAATAACCAGCATGACAGCCGCATTCGCCTGAAACAGAGAAAGAGGAGAAATATTCAATCGAAAGACAAGTTCACCTCCTCGCTCACATCGCCTTGGGCCAATTGCTTCCCAAATCCAGGAGCACTTTGATTTAACAAAATAAATACTCGTTCGCCCACCAAAGCACCATCCCTCCGCTTCACAGTGAAATCCTGTGAAACGCTTTGAGACGTCCTCCCGACTTGAAAGGCCTTGTTCCAAATGCAGGGATTACTATTAAATTTAATGTGACACCTTTCACGTCAGGACGACGGCTCAAAGTTGCCTCAGAGGGATGACTGTACAGCGAATTAGGGACGGAGATATGAAGCCAAAATGCCTGTGGCAATGTCAAAAAATCGCACACAGTCAATGTCATTGCAATAGCAGTAACACTCACATTCTCATGGTGAGAGTGTCAGTCAGGCCACGCACGAGAATGTCCCACAAACAGAGAATGAGCAACATTCAGAATCCACTACTCTGCCATCTTTTGATGGACCTCTCACAAAGCTCTTAGTCTGAGTCATATTCTTAGACAATCTCTATCCCCCGCAGTCTCATTCACTGGGGACTGAAGCATATCCCCCTAGAGGTAATTTGAACCTTAAGAGCCTTTCCTGCCTGGTTGGATTCAAAAAACGTACAAGACAGATATGCTGCGTGCTCCAAAACAGAATGAAATGGATTAGCCACTTAGCTGTCTTGTGCTTAGAATACTAACGTGGTAAGAAACACCTGCAGTGTACATCACACAACCCACGCCTTCATAACAAGGCAAACCCCCACAACTGGACAGGCAACGTAAAGCTGCTCGTTGGCAGTCGGGCATTCAGCATCTATGCCCCCACACTCTGGAACTCGCAATCTCTCCGCCTCCCTTGAAGTCTTGTCTAAAGACTTTCCTTTTTGGCCACCCTTCCACCCCCACCAGTTGGTTTACGCGTTGGAAAAAAAGACGACAAGATTGTCATAAATCCACAGCAACTGCAGAATTGTAAAGTGTTCACATTTTTTAGCGTGGTCGGATACTAAAGATTAAAAGCTCTGGGACCCATCCTGCAAACTCGGAAGCAGTGATTTATCACTTGTTGAGCATCGCAATTCATAACAAAGAGGCAACAAATTAAAAAGTATACGTTATGAGGCATATGTAAAGGGAATGGGGGTTAATGGATGGGGGAAAAATGGATGGAAACTTAGAGAAAGGCGGAGGGAGGGAGGGAGAGGGGGAGGGAGGGAGATATGAAGCTCAGCGACCCGCAGCAATGTCAAAGATCGCACACAATCAAGCCTGTGCGATAGGACACTGCAATATCAGTGACACTCGTGATGCTCAGCAAATATTTCTGTGCAGCGATAAATCTTATCAGTACCACACGGCTGCTGCCTAGCCATTCATCACTGACAGCCGCATTGTGGCGGAATGAACACAATACAACCAGCACAAAAATTAGTGTCTCGGTGGATGGCAGATAAAACGTCTCACCCCACCCTTCCCTCCTTCGCCCTGAATCCCCCAACCACACCTCCAGGAACCTGGAGCCTGATTGCCTGAGAGGTGATGATGGAGAGGACAAGACCCAGCTCAGCTACCGATGTTCCTCTTGGTCGAGAAGGTAGTGTTCGACACCGAAACTCTCAACTGAATAAGGGAATCGAGGGCCAAGATCCTGGTTCTCGGTACCAGCGTGCTCAGAGCCTTGGCTAAGGAGAAGCAATAAAAGAGGAGTCAAAACGCCATTTGTGAAGGAAATCGGGAGGAGAAGCCGACGCTCAAGTTAGCCGAGCTTCATGCAAACGCAAGTACTGAGCAGACAATATAGGCTGGCTTTGCGACTGGCATCTCAACTGCTCGAAATGGTGACAAGCGCGATACAAATGTCATTTTGAATAGGTATCGTATTGTGTTTAAAGATGGCTTCTTAGGCACGGTAACCTATCTGCCTGTAGATGTACGAAGGAAGAGAAGGCAAGTGGGCAAGCGAGAGAGAGAGTGAGAGAGAGAGGACAGTCATCTCTGAGTCTCACTGTTCCCCCACAAGCAGTTGCAGAATTGGTAGAGGTTGTGCACGACAAGGGTGTGTGAACTAAATCAAGGCAACGCGCGTGTATTCTCAACGGGGCTCTAACCAGATGTATAAGTAAGTAGACGGTTTGACTTACACCGTGAGAGCAGAACCAAAGGGAATATAGGCTTGAAATTAAAAAAAAGCCTGAAGTGGGACTGGAGATTAGTGTCTCTCTCTCTCTCTCTCACACACACACACACAGTGGTGGTGGAGCCAACTCCCAATGGGAGTCAACAAGACGCTGCATTGATTAACACCTTCCAAAGAGCTCGGCAAAGGCAGGGACACGGTTTGGGGCTGGGGCTGGTTGAAGTCAAAGAGTCTGAGAAAGATTTTTTAGCGGAATAGAAACTTGGGATACAGTATAACACAGTAGTTTATGGGACGTGACATGTGGAAGCGACTGCCAGGATGGTGGAAGGCAAAACTGGATGTACTTTGGTCTTACTTCGTCTAGCAACTCTTTTTGTTCTTATGTGAAGATATCTGAGCGGTCAAGGCGGGGGGCGGAGGGTACCAGGATGGAAGACGACTGGGACAGGGCTGGTAGGGAGGGCGGCTGAGGGCAGGACGCTGGTGTGAATGGTCGACAAGCTGGTATAGAGGGGTCTTTGCCCAACTGAGGTGGGATGTTAAAGATTCTATGTAGAGCTTTCTCACAGCAGGTAGAATGGATGGCTGGGTCGTAGGGAAACAGACAGATAATATTTCATACCATAGTGCGGTCTGAACTCAGGCTTGCTCAGCTGAATAGCCAGCTTCTCTGTCATTCTATGCTTTATGCTGGCAAGGAGGCTCAGGGCTAAACCCAACAGTGTAATTACAAACTGGGATAACTGCTGGGTTTTTTTTTTAAATGAGCTTCCGAGACAAACGAGCGAACAAAAAGATCATGGTTTCATCCTGGTCACCCAACCTGACCTGTTGCCTCTCACTGTTAGACACGGCTTCCAATGGTGAAGGTATATCGAGAGGTGCAGTGATATCAGTCAATGGAATCCTGTCACAGCTGCAGTATAGCATGGAGTCAATTTGCGCAGTGACAGAACGAGCCGTAAAGATCTCATTCCCAGAGCCGAATACTAACCGTGACAGGTTAGGAATTGAACCATAGATATTGGGAGGGAGTGACAATTTCGCGTCAGCCCATTAGAGTTCAGACAATGCCAGAACATGACGATTTATGACAACCCTGGAGTTTGCTTTCCAGTATTAAACCCTCCCAGCTGCCAGCGCTATAGCGTCCATTGTTCTCCCATTAACAGTTTATCGCACACAAAGCTTCTCCCTCACTAACTACATTTAATGACTTTGGAATGCAGAATTGTTGCATTTGATTATACCGCCTGATCACATCGTCAAAACATCTCACAGGATTTACTGCAAAAATGCAGTGATGACTGTGTTTCCAGATTAACGTGGCAGCCAATTTGCACACATCAATGTCCCACGAACAGCCATGAGAGTAGGAACAGGGATTCTTCTCACTTGGCTCCTGAAAGTTAACCCTGCAAGTTACAGCTCTGAAGGGTAGAGGTGGTCCTTGATGGGCAAGCAGTGGGAAGCTTGCCAGACAGTGCTTTCGAAGGCAAGCAGCATGGTTTTAACTGGTCAGACTCCAGCAGTTACCCCAAATTACACTCTGGATTCCCCCCTCGTTGCTCTCCGCTGCTCTAAGGTCTGGGTTGTTGATTCACCCCAGAATTGCTCAACGAAAACTGCTTTCAATTAACACAGCAACAATGCATCAGGTAGGTGGGACACCCAAAGCACCGGACAGGCGGACAAATCAAAGAATAATTGGGAAATAAACCACATACTCCCAAAAACAGAAAAGAAGAGAAGAGAGGGACAAGAAAATCAAAACACTTCCAAGGACAGTTTTCCCAATATTTATAGTTCAATTCCTAACCTGTCGCGGAAAATCAAAGGCAGAGGAATTGACGATTCAATCTTGTGGTCCGTGCCAACCTGAAAGCGGGTAACCGACACACTGCACTCGCTCCTTAAGCGACACCTGTGTATCATACTGATCTATCATTTCGATAACGGAGCTTCAAATAGCTTCGCAAAACTTCTCCACTCTCTCGCTCTCTTTCAAACACCGAACCGGGTCTCAAATCTCGGAGAATAATCAAACGCCTGGCAAATTCAGCAAACGTCTAACAACTGTAAACAGTAACATTCAGTAAACGGTCCCGTCCTGCGGCTAATCTTTACCTTGACGCTAGGGTTTCATGTATGGGCTGATTCCACCCTGGCACTTGCTCGCCGAGAGCAGTGAGAACCGGCCAACATAGACACACGTTACACCCTTCTCAGACACAGGACCCACGGACACCACATGCAGATCCTCGCACGAGCACATACACACACACACACGCACGCACACACACACAAAGCAGGCAATAATAAAAATAATAAATAATAATGGTGAGGTATGGTATCGCTCTCCCAGTGTAATAAACCCTCAAAAATTGTTTTAAATAAAAATGTGGTCACTCAATCCACGACTGTTGCAGAGTAATGATGTGCGCAATTGGCTGCCACGGTTCACCCACATAATACATACTCACTACACTGACAGTATATTCTGTGAAGCGCATTGAGACGACTCACAGACACGATAAGGCGCTATATCAAGTGCAACGATTCTTCTTATGAATAATAATTAATAATCCTGACATTTGTGTCAGTGGCAGTGTTCCCTCCAACGTTGGGATATAAAAGCAGCAGAAAATGTTGGTAGTCTGACAAAACAAGTGGCTGAAATATCCTGATCGTAATATACATTGGGGATGGGATTCAGATGTGAGAAGCCAAACACTGATCAGTAAAGGTCGTCAAAATTAAACCACTGAAATTGTCGTGTCGTGTCAAACACGGAAGATTTCTCGGCTTTCAATGGGCTTAGCAGTCGCACTGATGTGCAATCTGTTAGAAGAGGTTATCGGATTTGCACATTCACTGCATAATCTCGCCATTATCTTTACAAATGATGCATTTGCTTAACGTTCGGCCACTATACGGGTCAGTTTCGTGCCTAATTTATTCACGAGCTGCCCGGGTCCCACTCGGTCCAATGTAAATATCCTTAAGGTGTCTCGTTATCATAATTAAGTGCTCAGGCCCGTTGCGAAATGCTGCTTAACACCGACAAACAACAGTATTTATCCACAGCGGCTCTGCAAGATGCAGAGGATGGTGCTCAACAACAGCAACTCGCATTTACATCGCGTCCCTCACGCAGGATAGCATCCAAGGGCGCTCAGAGACATGTCAACAGTGGCAGACCTCTCCTCGATAACACCCAGTCCTCGGGAGGGAAGCAAGAACACCGCTATCGCAGGACACCTCACGCTCTGCAGTGCCATGGTTTGTCCCCCAGGAAATCGTCCGGGTTTAAATAGCACAATTTTCAGGCTGGTTAGTTACAGTCCAATCGGTTATGTTCTTTGCGCCGCTCGCTAACTCTTGCCGAGGAAGGTGGTGGGGGGGGGGTTTAAAATGTCCATCAGGGGGACTGAGGCCCTGGGAAATGTGCCGAATCATACATGAGAGGGAAGGGAACAGAGGGGAACAGGACGGGTGGGAGCTCATGTGGAATATAAACAACAGCATGGATTGGTAGGGCCAAATAGCCTGTTTCCATGCCATACCACTCTGCTTAACTCTATATCGGGTGGGGGGGGAGGTCCAACCTATTGGCTGCTGAGGGCCAGATGCCCTATTTGAGAAACGGCCACAGGCTGCATAAGCAACATATTCATGTTTCCCTTCCAGGAACATAACATAGGATTTACGGGGTTATGGAGCGAGCGGGTGGGCCAGATGGAAGGAAGGGGGAGGGATGCTATATCAAGTGCAAGGATTATTATTATTGCTATGATGATGTTATTACAGTTTAAATCATTCTATAGAGGTTATATTCCAAGTGGTTCTCGGTGAATGGCCAGAACCAATAATCCTGCCAAGCTACACATTATTCTCCACTATCTCAGCGATGGGTGTAAGTGACCTCTATGTAGAATGCCTCAAGACTGTGCTCCCCAAACTCTCAGGAAGCTTGTTACGTTACACTTGTTGTAGCTGAGATTTCCCATCTGTATCTGAGAGACTGGTCTCCTAATATAATGATATGCCCAGTACTAGCAGCAAATATAAATATCGAAGCCTGGCTCTCTCCCAGTATGAACATTAAACCCAGGCGGGGTAATAAGCAATTTTAATAAACATCGCTCAGCAGCCTGTGAGCTGAATACTGATAAATGCTTTACAGTCGGGGAAATATAATGAGCTTTGAAACTTGGAAGAGAGTCGTAAATGGCGGGATGCATAAATAAAATCATAAACTTTTTCTCTTGTGGCCCCGAGTGCATCGAAATGGGAAGATCTCTTAAAAGGGTCGGTCGCTTGTCCTCTCTCTCTCTACCTCCCCTCACCCCCGCCCCCCCCCGAATGTGGAAGGGGTGGGGTGGGGGTGGGGTGTGATCGAGGAGGCGAAAGTCTTGCTTGCAGCTTCCATCTTTTTCCTCGCTCGCTCTCTGTTGCCAACGCACTGCCATCCACAGCAGGATAAAAAGGGCAGGAAGCAGCTTCCGACACTGGTTTGACGTCTTCTGTTAAATCTACTGATGGGACAGTCCGGTGTGACCCGCTTAGTTGGGTTCAGGAGCGCGTACGGTTCCCAGCAGACACTGGTCACCGCTTAGTGACTAGTCTAGATAGGGACTACATGGGGGAATCACAATAGCGCCTAATCCCATCCTCACTCCCTGTGGGTTGTGATGGGGGATTAGGAACCCCCCCCCCGAACCAAGATCACTGAGGCCAATCGAAACTCTCCAATCTCTTGACCCCAGCCAAGACCAGCAAACAACTGACAGACCAGGACTTGACCCTGTGACCGCCCAGTCTGCGGGTCGGTGACGCTTGCACTTGGCAAGGGAGCCTTCACCCATCAGGTCACCGGGAAAGAAATGCACCACAGAGACCGGGACACGATCAGAAACATCTCGACAGCCGAGGAGCAAACACCATCATTAACATGCATTGGAAAGTCAGGACAGGCTCTCACATCCGTCTTCCCAATAAACACACACGCACACACGCCCACACATACGGACGAAATAAAAAGAATATCGCAGCTGTGATGAACGGCGTGCAGCCTTAATTTGTTTGCGTCACAGGTAGATACCTCACTCCAGCTGATTTATGGCTCTTTACCCACCCTCATCAATTAGAACCGGTTACCATCCTTCACGGCTGAGATGTGCTGGAAGTTTTCGGCGAATAATTATTGGGCACGTGCCTCAGCAACTGGGCCGACTGGGCGTTCATTAGACAAGGCAGGAGCTAATCTCTGTCAGCTGATGTGAAGGAAGAAACCCTCACAGCCTCCAACACGCCAGTCGGGCCTCCCCCTCTCCTCTTCTGCAGCACATTCAACCTGCAGCCACCCATCAAATGGTGCAGGAAACAAATTCATCTCCCATTGAAATTGGTCCTTAACTTCTCGGCTGTTTAAGCCTCGGACAAATTGGTTGCAGCGTAGGCCGACAAAATGGGCCGTACCCCAATCTGACTGCACTTCACAGTAATGCAACAGTAATAATAATATAATAGTAAACCTTGCATTTGAGACGTCTCAAAGAGCTTCGCAGATGATACTGTAAAGTGAACTGACATTTGGGAGTTAAGGCCGCAGATCAGCGATGATCTGATGGAACGGTGGAATACGATCGAGGGCTGAATGGCCCACTCCTGTTCCTATGACTGTATATTTTGTGGGTGAAACACAACACTCAATGTCCGATACAGTTGACCAGCGACAGACAAGGGACCGGTCAGTGAAATGGCTCCTCGTTGCTTGCATTGAGAGAGTCGAACGCCCCCGTTGATCAATTGCAGCGAGAACCAAACGCAGCAAAAGTCCTCGTCCACCAAACCCCTCCCTCCCCCAGTAATAGGGCAGAGTAAACAAATATAAGGAACGTTTGGTAAACGTTGGTAAAAGAAGAAGCCGCAGCGTGATTGACTGACCGAAAGCAATGAGCCGTTCCCAGGCCCTTCCCGATAATAGAAATTAAAATCTGACACATCATTTAGAATCCAATTTGCCGTTAATTATAAAGCTCTTTTTCCTTTGTCTTTGTGCTGATTAAGCTGAACGCGGCTTGCGTTTTAATCTGACGTTTAAACAGGTTTAATAACCTGTCCGGTCAACGGGGATCAACGTTTACAATCAGCAGGAAATGAGCTGAAAACCGACAGTGCGGACGAACTCTTCCCTCGGTCTCCTCTCCCCTTGATCCCCATCTCTCCGAATCGCAAGATTTATTATTATTATTATTATTAACCCTTTTAGTAACAATCCTTATATTTGATACAACGCCTTATCACATCATTGAGACGTATCAAAGCCCTTCACAGAATATACTGTAAAGAGAATTGACCATATGTTTTGTGGACGAAAGGCAGCAAGCCAATTGCGCACGGCAGCGTCCCCACATGCGGAACTCTTTGCGGGACCAAAATGCCACATCAGCCCTTTTAAAAGGATTTACAGACTCGCCTGTGCTTTGCGGTAGAGAATTTCACTTATTTTTCTGACCTCCCACTGCCGCAAACTTGTGCCCTTTTGTGACTGACTTGCCGACTGGAACAAATTCCTTTTTTTTTTAAAAAAAGTCTTCACGTTTGATTTTCTTTCCCCTCCCACCCCCCCACGCCAAAGCGCTTCACAGGAGACGTGGTAGAGTGGAGTGAATCAAACACTCGCTTACCTGTGTCCTCGTCGCAGAGGTGCTCGCAGGGCTCCAGCGTTCTTTGGCCGCAAAGATCTCTCATCCACGGCGAGGAGGAGTTGATTTGGTAAAACAAGGACAACCTGGCTGGGTTTAGCCAGTCTGAGACATCCAGGAAACTCCCCTCACTGACGACAAAGCTGCTCCCTGCACAACACAGAGACGGCACTGAACGAGAGGCGCAATGTTTCGTCTCCCTGTGCCCGAGTTAATTCACGGCAACTCACGGTCATTTTGAATGCAGAACATTTCTGGAAGAATTAGGAGCATTTCCATATGAATCAGCTACGCCAAGGCAGCAAGATAAGAGGGCATGGGCTCAGGGCACAGACACCGTGAAGTACCTCTTTACCCACAGGGAATCAACGACTGGAAAGGGGATACCGGGAAAGGTGGTTGAGGCCAGAACGCTGGGACTCGTTACAAAAGCAGCTCGATGCTGTGATGGGAGGTCAGTGGGGCGGGTGTTCTGGAAGGATGAGTTGAAATTGGCCGAAGGGCCTTCTTCATCCGAATCAATCTTGTGATTGAAGCAAAGGGGTTCAAATGTCAATCATTGGCATAAAGGAGCTCAGGGATATCAACTAAATAACCTTCGTTCAACTCACTGTCACGTACTGTGTGCAGTGGAGGCGTTTGCGTTATAATTACAGGAAGTCAAGATTCTCACTGTCGGCTGAGTGGGAGCTGAAGGTACGAAGGTGTTTTGTGGGCCAACATGTATGCGCTATATTAACTATAACTTTGACATAGAGCCTTATCAAGGTCTTTGAGACGTCTCAAAGCGCTTCGCACAGTACACTGTAAAATGAATTGACTCTATATCTTGTGGGTGTTTCGCCCGCACAATATACAGACAAGCAACCGAGCAAACAATGATGACCGGCCGGAGATCATTTCAGAAAAGGTATCTTCTCAATTGGAAGGGATGAATCCACTTACTTAAGGGCGACCAAATGTATTTTTTTTTTTGTTGGGGTGGTGGGGGGGAGGTTGGGGAGGAGGGGAGAGGAGGAAATAAAGATTTTGTGCCGTGAAACCTTCCTTCCGATGCGAAAGTCACGATACAAATGTGAAAGTGTATTTAGTCATCTTTGTGGTCAAGTTCAACCACCTTGTGGTGCACGGCTTGTGCTTGAAGGCTTTCACTGTGCGCCTAATCATTTTACAATGAATCCCAAAGATCCTTAGTAAAACTCAAAATAATGGTTCCTGCGAATAGTTTTGAATGGGTCTTTGATCGATGGGAATAGGACCATTTCTATTTTAGTGGAGCATTTAGCCGTGTGATGTAAAACCTGTCAGATCGCAGCGTGCGGGAGCTCGGAGCAACCAGAAGGTTTGACAGTGGACAGGACCAGGGCTCCCGACAGGACTGCAACGGCAAATGTGGCCAGTGGTCACAGTTAAAAATTGAGTCACAGTGACAAGCCGGCCGAGGTGATTGATCTCGTCCGCTAATTGACTGGTGCGGCTCGGAGCCGAGTTCCATTTATCAGAAACACCCTCAAGGAAGAAGGAAAAATCTAACACAACCTTCAACGAATTAATGGGGGGTAAACACGTCATCAATCGGTGTTTTGAGGCCTTTCTCCCTGACAGCCAACGTTCTCCAATCGAAGAGGTTCGGTTTGACCAGCAATTACGCCTTGGCGAGCGATGTGACATTGACGTTGCCTGACCCTATTCTGTTTGCAGTCTCCGTCCAGCTACTTGTTCAGTTCGAGCTCCCAAGTGTGCGACGTGGAATCGTGAATGCCGGCAATTATTCATTCAAAACAGTGAACGGTCCTGCCCAGTATCCTGGTAGAGCCGTTTTGTTTCACCGGTTTTAATCGGGTGGGCGTACACTATTGCCATTAGAATAGGAACCTCATGCACGTTATGTGCGTTAAATCAGCCCCCTTCAGCACACCGATAGTCGGGCAAATCCTTCGCCACCCCTGCGGCCCCATCCCGGAGTGGGAATGTTCATCTCATTCCCGAAGAGGCAAAACATCGGCGTTTAGAAGATCTCCCGAGATCTAACAAACTGATGGAGCAGGCTCGATGGGCTGAATGGCCTCTTACTCATGACCCTTATGTTCCTGCATTCTCATGTACAATGTTCCTGTGTCTCTCCCCTCCACATCCCACCCACGCACAAAACAATAAAAAAGGCTGTTCTTTATGTGCAATTATTGGTGATATAATGAGCCAATTTACATTAAAACAAAAAAAAACTGCTGATGGTGTGAGGCTTAACGTTATTGAATCCGATGTGAAACTGGACTCATTCACCCCGTAGGCCTCAAAGGACTGCTTAACAGCACAACTGCAGGTTGCCCAGCAATTGCAATTGAATTGCGACGGCTCTCTGCTTTGAGTGTCTCCACCCTCGCTGATCGACTGACTGCACAGCAGACCGAGAATCAAACACCAGCCAGGCGGATGCTCTCGCACTCAGCAAAGCCCCACGTTTGCGCCGAAAGAAAATGTTTTACAACGGCCGTCAGAACGCCTCGGGAGAGCGCGTGTGGGTCTGGACTCCGGGAGGGTCCCCGTGGGAGGGCGGAAAGGGGTAGAATAAAAGGCTCACCGTCAGCGATGAAGTGCTCCGGCACGTGTAAGGTTACCTTCACCACCAGGGGGCACGTCAAATGGGCTCCGTACACCACAGCCAGGACGCAGCTACTCACAGTGATTAAAGTGAGGGTGGTTTTATTCACGGGGCTCCTGGGAGAACCTAGGACACAAAGGAAGGAGTTTTAACACCCATCAGCCTGGCTCGGCTGGTTGCTGTAACTTGCCTTCCCTCCCACCCCCCCCCCCCCACCCAGCACTGAACCAGGGGTCAAAAACCTTCAGCAACGCCGTCGATGTTTTATTCGGTCGTATCTCGATGCATTCAGACGGATGTACGAAGCCTGCGTCAAGGTCTCCCCACTCCGAATTGCTGTCGTAACAATCCTCACATATGACATAGTGCCCTTATCACATCATTGAGTCATGTCAAAAAGTTGTCACAGGATTTTGCTGTGTATTTTTTTGGCGGGGGGTAAAATACGGCTGCCTCATTTGCTCCAGCTATGTCCCACAAACAGCGGATTGAAACGGACTGACAATTTTATCCAGGGGGGGGATTGTTAGCCAGGAAGACAGAAGAAACTCCTTTCTGGTTTCGAACAGGCAAGGACGAGCCGGACCTCAGTTTAAAGTCACATCCAGCAGACTGCGCCTCTGACAACACCCTCGCCAGCCACCACCCCCACCCCACTCCCCCTCCCCCTCCCCATGCGCCCATTCCGACGGTGCCTTTTACTGAGGCCGGCTGTGATGAACACAGTCACTCTGTCGGACATTCACCTGGTCTCGTCTTGGTACACACCGGTTCGACTGAATCACAATTGTTTGGCTGCCACTAAAATGCGCAGGTCTATGGAACATGACCATTTGCCGTGCGTGCGCGCGTGTTTAAAACAATAAACACAAGCATGGATGGACCTGCAGAGGCAGGAGGCAATTTGTTTCGCAATAAATATAGGTTTGCGGCAGTGAATGTCACAGAGGGAGTGGAGCTTCTGCGTCTCGCCCTCTCAACTCGAAACGAGCTGTCGCAAGAAAAATCGCCCCCTTCTGTCAAACTGCTACAGCACAACAGCCGTGTTAAGTGGAGCATCCATTTCAGTGCTCGCAATGACTGGGGTCAACCGGCCTCCAGACATGCACACGGTCCCGACCCGGGGGCTTGAGCTCACAACCTTCTGACCCAGAGAACGAGAGTGCTACCAGCCGAGCCAGGCTGATTTTGAAGCAAGCTTCTTTCTCGATATCTCCCACTCGTTCCGGTTTGTGACTTTGCCGAGGAAGAGAAGCGTTGTAAACCGCTAGACTCTGATCCCTGCGTGTTTAGTGGGACAAAGCAAAATGAAAACATAGCCAATGATACGCAGGGATCAAATACATGGTTCACAATTGATGTATAACCCCGAATAAATGTTCCACTTTTATAAATTATTCAACCTAATGTTTCTCACTTTGTCTCGATGTGCGCTCTCTCTCTCTCTCTCTGTCTCTCAGTTGCCTTCAGTTGCATGATATCCAGGCAACAAAGCATATTTTTTTATTTTAACTTCTAATAACAGAACTGACCCCGATTTCCCCGGGTCTAACTAACCCGCCGCCTCGTGGACAGCGAAATTTCCCGATTTCTCCTATGCTCGCTCACCCCGATTGTTTTTTTTTGCGGGGGGGTGGGGGGAAGGTTCAGGTAGGGTACAGACGGCACACAATCAAAGCTCGCCGTCATCCCCAACGGGAATGCAGTTAGCGCTCTTTTGCAGAGTGACGATGCCCACAGTTCACCTATTCAGGATCCAGTGTCGCCAACTCAACGACGTGTGAGCTCCCAGTCTACACGAAGACCTCAGCGTAGGACTGGGGGTGGGGGTGAAGCGTGCTGTCCTTCAGATAAGATGGTCCTGGCTGCCTGTATAGGTGGAAATTAAAAATCCAACGCGCTGGTCGAAAAGAGAAGGGAGTTTCTCCCCGTCAGCATCCTGGCCAACAACCCCCCCAGGTAAAATCAATCACTCGCTTCATGGCTGTTCGTGGGTCATTGTTGTGCCACAAATGCACAGTCACCACACTTTACAGTAATGCTTGTGAAGTGCGAGGAGACATTTTGATGAGGCACTGCAGCAAGCACAGGCACGAACAAAACGCTCGCGCTCACGCGGCAGTTTCAGGTTGGGAAATGCCTAAAAGTGTTCCACAAAGATGAAACGACAGGGGTGAAAAAGTCTTTTTTTTAAAAAAAATCAAGTGGTTTGAAAGCGACCACCTCCCTCCCCTTCCCCTCTCCCCCAAGTTCGGCACATCAGTTTGACTCAAGAGTTCTCAGCCTCTTGATTGTCACGTTGCACCTAACACATGGCATCGCTCAAAGTTCTCAATGTTATTGACGACTCCAGTCTGAGACACGATGATGACTGGCACTCCGAAGACTATTGATACTCGGAAGGTATTGACCCTCAAGAGTTTCTGTTGTGCCGGGATTCCGTGCAGCAGAACTGAATCGCAGTCGCTGCCTTTCCCTCGCCTGACAGGTGACAACACGGATTGCTCCATTCGATTGTTAAGAGCTCAATTATTTTTCGGAGTGTTACTAAAAAAAAAAGCAACCGGGAGAGAAAATCTGACAGACGCGCACGGCGTCTCTGCACAAGACGATTCCTCAGGAGCGACCAACTGTAGGGAACAAAAGGCTTAAAGCACAACATATGTCCGTGTTTCGTGCTGCAGGACGCTGGAACGAAGATATCCCCCACTTTTGCACGAGCGCTCAGTGACGCTGAGTCTAAGACTCCGGCTGAATTGCCAGAGGACATCACTCCCCCAGACACGGCTGGCACAGATGTCAATTAGCAGCATGCAGCAGAAACCCTCGGTTTCCAGTCGATCAACAATCCAAAGCTGGAACGCACACACGTGTTTCTTTTAGGCCGGAAGGGTGTCTGCGACATGTGCGGAACCCCCATCGCCCAGTACCCAAAGCAGTCTGAGGGTTCCACGTGCGTTTAGAGGACTGCTGCACACAAACTGGCTGCCGCATTCGCCCACAAAAACACACAGTCACTCCACTGTGCAGTGCACCCTGTGAAGCACCTTTTGATGGGCTGAACATCCTTCGTCCTGTGCTGTACATTTCGCTGGTTTCAGTTACAAGTTGGTGCATTGGCTTTCCTGGACTGAGCCCAAAGGACTTAATGAGTTGAGCGCATTTCTGGAGGGGTGGGTGTAGAAGGCTGGGGGTGAGGGGAGAGAGGGGGTGGACAGGGAGAAGGAGGCAGAAGAGGAGGGGAAGCAGAGAGGAAATAATTCAGGAGGGGGGGAAAAGTTTCAGTGACAAGCTGTGTTAAATTAAGCAGAGTTTTCCCGCAGAGATGCATCTTAATGAATCCAGCTACGAGCAGATCTCTCTACAAATCCAAAGAGATGTTGCTGCTGCTTTTTGCTGCTAAAGAAAGGAACTCCCATGAGCAGCCCGACTCAGGAGTCATGTCAGACTTGTGCGCGACCTTGAGTTGTCATCCTCCCCTCGCTCGCTCGAAACCTCAGCCACATGCGCAATGCGCTTCTGGAATTATAGCAGACGGAAAGTGGGAAAGGGTATCATTCTGAAGGAGCGATATGCTTTTGCCCTTTTTATATATAGATATATATACACACACACACATATATATATATATATTCTTATTTTAAAATAAACAAGACAAAAAAAGAGACCTCATTTCTGTTTTCTTTCTACAACAGCTATTTGTTGGCGGTTGTGATAACCAGAATCCCTTCATCCGATACACGGTGGCTTTCATATCAGGAGACCGTCTCAAAGCGCTTTACGTGACCTTCTATTAAGTGCAGTGACTGTGTATTTCTGTAGGCAAACGTGGCAACCCATTCGCGCACAGCTTTATCCTCCCCCCACCCAAACAGCCGTGAAATGAATAACCAATTTTATCTGGGGGAGGGGTGGGTGGGGGCGGTGAGTGGGGGAAATCAGACAGATGGGTTTAACGCCTCATCCAACAATGCAGTCGTCTCCCAGCGCTGCTTTAAAATATCAGATGAGATTGAGTTCAAAGTCATGGCGCAGGATTTGAACTCACCACCTTCTGACTCAGAGGCGAGAGTGCTACCGACCAGGTTGACACCGTGGGTCAGAAGGTTTTGGCCTGAGACCAAATACTCGTGAATAAATAAAAGCAGCTTCCACTGTTGTTTAAAAAAAAATCTTTGATTCCATCTTTTTTCCGGAGCTGCGATCCCGTTGCGCCCTCATCAATTATTCACTGACGCGTATCCATTCCACCATTCCCCCAAATCATTATTCCTGCTTTGTCTAAGTGGTCATCTGAGGACCGACGAGCTCAGGTCATGCTTCTCAATAACACAAGATGGCAGCAACACAGGACTTTCGGTTCCAGGCGACTATCTTGCAGAGAGAATAGCCACACTCCACTTTAATCCTTGCTCAATCAGCTACCAAAGCCTGGGCAACAAACCTCAGATCTCTCTCAACCCAGAAACGTTTGAACAAGAGTCCTTCAGAATCAGGGCTCGTACATTGAGAATCATCGTCATGTATCATTGCGTTTCATATAGCGACAACTTGAAGCGCTTCACGGGATTTACTGCAAAGTGTAGCGACTGTCGGTGTAGGCGAAGACGTGGGCCAAAGTGTCCCACGTACAAGCAGCCATGTTGCAAATTGCCAGCATCGAGCCGTCTTTTTCCCCGATATACCAACATCATACCAGACCCTGCTCACGTTGCCGCTGGCCCGTTCAATCAAGCCGAAAGGCCAGGTGGTCAACGAAACTACAACATCCATATGAAAGGAGCGCCGTGTTCCTCACTGTGCAGTAGATGCCACCGCAGCACAGAGCAACATGGAAAGGGGGAGGGCAGTGCAAGAAGCAGGTGGTGGGATGATTGTGATACATCCAGGAGGCAAGGAAGATAACAGCGAGGGCATATATGGGTGTAATTACCAGGCACCAAACTCATCTGGAGTTCAGATAAGGTCACCAACCCTCCACCTTCCAATTATTCTTCATTCTCTGCAGGATGGCAGAAAGGCAGAAGGAAATAAAAGAAAAGAAGAGATGGCCCAACCACGGCAGAAGGAAGTAAGTGTCGGGGCTGTGTTTTGAACTTAAGGTAAATTGAGAGAGGCTATCTCTA